CCCGCCGCGAGGCAGCCGCCCTGAGCGTGGTGTCCCCAGGATGCCCCCCCGCTGCACGCACATCGCCGCCACCCCCTGCCCGGGTAGCTCCCCCTGGCAGTCGGGCTGCAGGGGTGTAAGCGGCCCCCTCCCCACGGGCTGCGTGTTGTTGCAGCGAGGGGCTAGTCTAGGAGCCCGCTTCGGGAGGCAGGTGCTAGCTGAACTTAGTTTAACTGTGGCCAGACTGACCATCCAACCCCAAATCATGTCACCGGCCAGGTTAGCTGCGGTCCCGTGTACACCAACCCGCTGTGTGTTTAGTTCAGATGTGACTGGGACTGAGATTCTGGGCTAAAACATAATTGGGTATTCACATGGACAGTGCGTATGTCAGGGGTGTCCAAACTTTTTTCAAAGAGGGCCAGATTTGATGAAGTGAACATGCGTGAGGGCCGACCATTTTGCCTGACATTCTTTGAACCATTAAAATTAAATGCAAATTAACTATTTTATGCAAAGTTTATTGCAAACGGCATACTTTTCATTTCGTCACATGGATGACAAATCTAAACAGGTGTTAAATCACTCTGCCTTTCATATCTGAAGGCCAGATGAAAAAAAAAATCCAGGAAGCTGAAATATATGTCAGGAACATTGTAAAGTACATTACATATTATTGGTAATAAAGGTTGTCTGTCAACTTTTAAGTTCAAAAAATATGAACAGGAACATAACACCAAGTATACATGTTGTGTCCAAATATATTTATAACTGATTTAGACCAACTGACTTTAACTGAGATTTTACAATGTATTCATCTCAATACATATGGATTCATTGGGGGCCATAAAAGATAGATATTGCCAAATTACCCGGGGGGCCGTATTAAACCGGAACACGGGCCGCAATTGGCCCGCAGGCCGGACTTTGGACATGCCTGGCATATGTGAATTGGATATGTACCTGAGCTAGCGCATCGTTTAAAAACCTGATTAAACGCAGTTTGGCCTCTCCAGCAAAATCTGTTATAACTAAAACTGCAGTTAAAGATAGTTGCTTACCCTGTATAGGTGAGAGCCTAACTTAGTTAAAGTAGAATCAATTTTAGCTGGGTTGCAGGCTGCTTTGGTCTAATCACACAACGATGACCGTTTTAAGGGAGGGGGCAGATCGTGAGTAGGGACTATTCTTTTATGATATGATATCATGAGTAGGGACTATTCTTTTATAGCCAAAGAGTTTCATGTGTGTGATGTACAACTGTGCATGCTGCCAGTGATTGAGAGAACACTTCACAATAAACAGCATTTGAGAGAAACATAGCCATGAGTTTGTAATTTGAAGTTTCCTTTGGTTGGGTTTTTTTACTTCATTTCTTCATTCTCCGCCCATCTGAACCATTTTGACTGAATATTATAATATGTTGTGAGTGTCTGATTTGGAGATTAAACCAAATTACTGAAAAACTATATCTAATCCAGAGTCATTTCCAGTTCCTTATTTATGTCTTTTAAATATTAATTTGTTTCTCTGCTTAAAAATAATTTGTGTTTTTAAATGTAATGACCTCATGAACCAGGCTCTGACAGATAAGGAGATGCTAGTCTGAGGGCATGGCTACACAGCAACGTTATTTCGAAATAACTAGGGTTATTTTGAAATAGCTTAGTCCGCATCTACACACCGGGCAGTTATTTTAAAATGATGTCAAGCTGGAGGACTTCTTACTCTCTACTCTGACTCCTGTAACTCTCAGGCTGTGTCTAGACTGGCAAGTTTTTCCGCAAAAGCAGCTGCTTTTGCGGAAAAACTTGCCAGCTGTCTACATTTGCCCTTTCCACAAGAACACTGATAATCTCATGTAAGAAATCAGTGCTTCTTGCGGAAATACTATGCTGCTCCCGTTCGGGCAAAAGTCCTTTTGTGCAAAAGCATTTGTGCAAAAGGGCCAGTGTAGACAGCTCAGATTTGTTTTGCACAAAAAAGTCCCGATTGCGAAAATGGTGATTGGGGCTTTTTTGCGTAAAAGCGCGTCTAGATTCGCACAGACGCTTTTCCGCAAAAAGTGCTTTTGCGGAAAAGCGTCTGTGCCAGTCTAGACACTCTTTTCCGCAAATGCTTTTAATGGAAAACTTTTCCGTTAAAAGCATTTGCGGAAAATCATGCCAGTCTAGACATAGGCTCATTGTAAGAGGAGTAAGGGAAGTTGGAGGAAGAGTGCTCTATTTTAAGATAAGTGTTGTGTAGACACTCCCAATTTTGAAATAAGCTATGCCATTGACTCAAATAAGCTATGCAAATTGAGCTAAGCCTTGGTGTGTAGATGCACCCTGAGTGAAGTCTGCTGACCTTAGGGGTTCCATAGCAATTTATCTGCTGAGAGCTGAGCCAGGTGAGGAGTGAAGTCTTTAACAAAACTAAAAAGTATTTGAGCCTAGATGGTCAAAGGTATTTAATCAGATAACTCCTAGTGGAAGTTAAGACCAAAGCAGACTGTGAAGAGCTTAAAAAAGATCTCACAAAACTAAGCGATTGAGCAACAAAATGGCAAATTAATTTAATGTTGATAAATGTAAAGTAATACATACTGGAAAAAAAATTATCCCAACTATACATACAAAATGATGGGGACTAATTTAGCTGTAACTACTCAAGAGAGAGATCTTGAAATGATTGTGGATAGTTCTCTGAAAACATCCACTCAATGTGCAGCGGCAGTTAAAAAAGCAAACAATATTAGGAATCATTAAAAAAAGGG